GCTGTAACTCCGAAGATAATGATTTCTAATCAATAAATAAAAGATCGTTGGAAACACGGAATCTTTCTCTTTAAAAGGCTTTTTGATTTATCCTAATACGATTTCCGGTTCTCGAGATATCATAGTGTAAAGAAAAAAGTATTTTTTGATCGTTTATTACGTTATCCGTTTCACCGAGCTATTTCAAACTGCAGACAAGACTCCTAGAAAAATATACGTAATTTCTAAAAGACGTACAAACTTCCAGGAAAAATTATAAATCGCGCAGCGTCTTAAGCGTTACGAATATTTCGAGTCCTCGTATCTCGACAACCGATTAAATTATTATTATAATTAATTAAAGTATCGAGATGAATCGAAAAGTGACTTAAACGGCACGATTTTCTCTATCTTATGAATTTTTATCATATTTAATCTTCTTCTGCTTCTTACTCATTGAAAAAATCAAACTTTATAAAATTTTTTTAAACCACCAGCTTCCACAACTCGATCTATCAGATAAATGCATTTAAAGAAGCGAGCGCGAATATCATTTGTAAGTACTTTCGACGCTTCAGAGACATTTTAATCGATAACCTAATATCTATTTAATCAGATTTCAATACCCATTGGAGGGGAGGGGGTGAATTTTCATTTAATCCCAATGTCTATGCGCCTGACTCGTAAAGACGCCCCGGGGACAGTGTGCCGAAGTCGGCCCCGATTAAAAATATCAAATTCTTAATTGGCCGTTGTACCATCGAGCTTACTGCTCCCCCGAGTAGTTTACACAAGAAATAACAGCTCTTTGTTATATCTACCCCCCTACCTTCCCCACTACTCCGTCTGATTTTCCGTTCGCAGGTGGTGTTCGTGCATCAAATATATACGTACGAGATGCCTCGTTATGGCAAGTACATATTCCCTAACTGGGCGAATGCGATCGGAATACTGATCGGCCTGTCGACCCTCGCCCCGATGCCGTTATTTTTCATCCGCCGCGTTTGGAAAGGGCCGGTAAGTTTCGTCACTTCGTGAGCAACGAAGAGGGAAATACGATGTAATAAATCTTTATCGTAACGATATACACACTTAAATAAGGATTAATTTTGTCGAACGATTGGCAAGCAATTTGCACTCGCCACGCCACTCGAGTTTGCGAGCCGCTGCCCCCGGCTTACTGGGCTAAGCCCGAGATATCAGTTGGCATAATGCTCAACAAACTACAGAGATTGTTATGCAAACTGCTCGTTGTTTTTACGACACGCTACTAGCTGAAGCACCCACGCCCCCGCCGCTTTAGAGTTTACGGTGATTCCGTGCTATAATAACCTATATCAAGCTTTTTGCTCCGTAGAGCGAAGAGAATTCGTCTCGATTCGAAGAGAGATTTTGAGAAATTCGTTCGGAAAGAAAAATCGAGTTTTTCTCGTCTCCGTCGTCGTTTCAAATAGAGCGCTCTATATTATATTTTATTATTATTTCGAAGAGTTTCGATTTTTAAAAATTTTATTTTAAATAAAACGCGTTGCAATTTAATTTAATTTAATTTAATTTAATTTAATTTAATTCGCGAGATATATTCTTTTTGCGCGGCAAAAAATCTTTCTCGATCGTAATAAAAATACGGAAAGAATGGTTGAAGATAAATAATCGAAAATTCGATAAGATAATCGTAACGTGTAAGGTGCATAAGATAAGTATTTGAGTAAAATATTTAACCCTGCTCCTATTATTAATTCTTTTATATCTCGTTTTATAAGTTTTTACGATGAAGCTTATGCGAGAACGATGGTAATATAAAGTTGTATAACTTCCTACGTAAATTTGTTGGAGGCTTAAAGCAGTGCGGGGGTTTATCGGTTTCTAGTATTTTTTTCTCCCGATTTATGGCGGTTTGCTATAGTTTGCTTAAGGACCAGTACACCGACTTCGCAAGATAAAGGAATGGATCTTCGATCGAGATTAATGCAATTTCTAAATATATCGCGCTGATAAATTTTATTTATCAAAAAATTTTCCTCTCGAGATTTGTTGAAAAAAGCAGGGGAAAATAATGTTCCTTTGTAGAAAACGATCAATTAAAATTATTATTATTATTATCCTCGAAACAAGCAAATTTTTTTTTTTTTTTGTTTTTTTGTTTTCTTTTTCTCGCAAAATCATTCTCTCGTAATTGCAACACGTAGCGTTCGTTCCGTGTGTTTACCAGCGACGAGACATTGTAAATTTCCACGATAAAATGTGGCCGGCGTTTACACGATAATTATACAGTGCGTTTCGCGATATCGTTGCCACAACTCGGCGGCTCTCTTTCTGCGGATTGCAAATTTTTCTTTTTTTGCAAAACAGTCACGTACACCCAATCCAACTGCCTCGATCTTTAAACCCCGATCTTTAAACCCCGATCGATGCATGCAACCATGCACCAAAAAGTTGCCATTCTTTACCGTGAAAATCTTGACCGTAAACTTCGAAATGTCTCAATACAAGTTTTTCTACGGTAGCTAGGTAATCGTACTTTGAAACGAAAAGTTTCGTTCCGTGCTCCATCGTACGGATCGAACCTATTTCATCCGTTTCACTCTTCCTCTCTTCTCTCTCTCCCCTTGACCGCTTCCGCTTTGTTTTACTCGATAAATTTACTATTACTCTTATCTCCTTTCCTCCCGTTTTCGATTCTCTCTGCACAGCTCGAAACTACTTGCGAGCCACGAAGAAGAAGATACGAGGTTGCCGATCGAGAATCGGGAAAATCTTTCTCCCTTTCTTCACCGACCTCTGACTCATCAGAATATTATTATCGTTATTCTAAATCGTATGCTCTATCGAAATCCTCTTTCTCTCCATTAATTTCTTCCCTTTCGCGATCCATAAGTTATTAATTTAAGCTTCCAAGAAATATAATGTAATATATATATATANGTCTAGGAAGCGTGCAGTTGAAACAGCGGGCGAGTTGACTCGAATTGTTTGCATGAGCCGCGGGCGCAAGCCGTGGCCGATTGTTCAAAGAATTTTGACTTTTTAATTGTGCGCAGAGGGACCGAAGCATGTTTCGACCGAAGAAGACGTGGGGGCCCGCCGTGGAAAAAAGTAAGGACACCGTGTCCACGGCCGTGTCCGTCAAGGTATCCGAACCGCGTGGGAACGAGACCCAGGAGAATTCCGCAGTTTAAACCGACGATCTTTTTTGATCGATCCTTCTCTCCACGTCGATTCTAGTCACGTCGATTCGGATGTTAATCGTTTGAGAAAAAGGAACGCTCTCTTCTTCAACGATCGTTGCAATACACCACGGTTTTCGTGATCTTTTTTTTTCTTCCTTTCTTTCTTTTTTTTTTTTTTTTGAATAATATTATTCGTGACGAATCGCCTATTTATATACATTTTTTTTCGCATTTAAACGGAGGAGAGGATATTGTGATATTTGGCGAATATGTGTACAACGACGATGTAATTGTATAATCATTGAAATAAATGAGCGAAATATGCGAAAAAATGGTCGAGCAAATGGTGAGTTTGGGAACCACTGCTACGCACACTGTTTCCTCCAATTCTCTTGTACCGTTGGTTCGTTTCCAACCAACGATCTTGCGCGTATTATTTCCACTTGTTTCTCTGCTCTCTCCTGTTTCATTCGATAATCAGAGAGAAGTTTTCAAGGAAGGAGGAAGGAGGAATCACGACGATTCCGATTTCATCATTTTTCAATTCAATAAAAAGAAAATATCGCGCCAACGCGCTTTCCGTTTTTTTCGTTCTTTAGCAAGTTTTAAATCGAGGACAAAAGGTTAGGAACCGTAAGTACAACTATAATTTCGCCTCGAGCTTTAACTTAGTACTTGCCGATTAATATCGCATCACCGAGTTTACGATTTTCAGTCCGAAAGGGATTCGTTTGCGATGTTTCCTTCCTTGCGTTTACAATTTGGCAAACGCGTCGCAATGCGGGCGAAATTCGAACTCCCAACTTCTCGATTAATTCCTTTTGGAATCCATTCTCGTGGATGCGTAGAGAGAGAGAGAGAGAGAGAGAGATGGAATATCTTGAATATTTCGACACTGCGGGAAGAATGAATGAAAAAAATATTTTTTATACGCGTTGCGTGTTACAGTTTTTTAATATATATGGTAGAACTGTGTAAATATGTTAAAAATAAAGTAAGAGAAAGGAAGGAGCGAGGAAAACATTTTTCGTGCCGGACCTGCTAATGGACTCATCGTTAACAAGCATGGCCTAGGGATGTCTCGGAAGCTGGAACAGCGGGAGGTTACATTAGAGAATATTGGGTGAGTTGTTTGGTTGCTTGCGATGCTTAAAATTCAATTATTGTAAATAAAGTAAGAAGGAACGACGTAATTTTAATAAAACGAGGTGGGGGACCAAGTGCGTTAGTTACTCATTTATTTCTTAGTTTATTACTTATTTTAAAGTTATACCTCGGAAAACCTTATTGATAATTGTGTTAACGGAGTTCGATACAGATGGAGTAGTCGAACCATGGAAAATTGGTTGGTCGCTGTACGCTTCACGAACGAGGATAATTTCCAAAATAATATACAGGAAAGAGAGAGAGAGAGAGAGAGAGAGAGAGAGAGAGAGAGAG